TTGATGTGGGGCTCAATCCCAGGACCCCAGGATCATGACCTGAGCTGAAGGCAGACACTTAACTGACTGAGCCACCTAGCACCCCTAAAAATCCTTAAAAAAATAATTAAAAGAAAAAAAAAAAAAGAACTACTCTGTGATCCAGCAATCACACTACTGGGTACTTGACCAAAGAATGCAAAAACACAGGGCCCGGGTGGCTCAGTCAGTTAAGCATCTGCTTTTGGCTCAGGTCATGATCTCAGAGGCCTGGGTTTGGGCCCCACATCAGGCTCCCTGCTCATCAGGGAGCCTGCTTCTCCCTCTCCCTCAGTCAAAATCTTTTTAAAAAAAGAATACAAAAACACTAATTTAAAGGGATACATGCACCTCGATGTTTATAGGAGCATTATTTACAATAGCCAAATTATGGAAATAGCCCAAACCATAGATGACTAGATAAAGAAGATGTGGTATGTATATACAATGGACTATTGCTCAGCCATAAAAAAGAATGAAATTTTGCCATTTGTAACAACACGGATGGAGCTAGAGAGTATGGTCTCCGCAAAATAAGTCAGAGAAAGACAAATACCATATGATTTCACTCATATGTGGAGTTTAAGAAGCAGAACATGTGGGCAAAAGGGAGGAAGAGGAAGAAAAACAAACCAAGACACAGACTCTTAATTATAAGGAGGAAACTGATGGTTACTGGATGGGAGGTGGGTGAGAAGTAGGCAGGATGGGGAGTAGAGAGTGCACTTAGGATGAGCTCTGAGTGGTGCACAGAATTGTCGATCCCTGTGTGCCCACCAGAATCTAGCATCCCACTGTATGTTAACTATACTGGAATTAAAAAAAAAAAAAAAAACTTTAAAAAATGACCAACAAAAATCATCATTAAAAAATTTTTTCTTTTGGCTCAATTGGTTAATATCTCATTCCTTCCATAAATTACTTGGGGCAGCTCTGGGATAAGTAATATAATAGAATTGTGAGTATAGACAGAACAAGGAAAAAATGGTTAGAAACTAAGATAGAGCCAGGAATAAAGTTAGCGCATAAAATATGTTTCATATAGTATAGCTTTTAGAAGTAGGGGACAACTACAGTATTTTCAAATGTCCCATCTTGAAAAAAATTCACTAAGAAGGTTTTTAAATTACAGCACCCTTAGCAGTTTTAAAGTATAGTGTCGTTTTTGAAAATCTGTTTTTCGTCCCCTTTCCAAGGAAGATAATCTTATGTAAATCCAGTCTACCTCACTTGTGATTTGGCTTGCTAACAGTTTTAACATCAAGTTTATCAAAGTTTATTAAATGTTACTTGTATTCATTGAGGAATTAAGTGATTGTTCTGTGCGTTTGAAAACGCTAGAATGGTAATTTTATTTTATAACTTTGAATGTGACTTAAGGGAAATAGTGCCATGATCCAGGAGACCCCAAGATCTAACTTGGGTTTTGAAGTTGGGTTCCTGTAAGCCTCGCCAGCCCAGTATTTGATGCTAAAGGTGAAGAAGAGTGTGGGTTGATGAGGATCTAACAATGTACTTGGGGAGATGGAAGCACTTGTATGGTTTTAGAGTGTTCATTTGTTCGATGTTTAGGAAAGGTACTTAAATTGTCCTTTCACACCAGTGGGTAAGTATTCCAGAATTAGTCTACCAGGACAACTCAGGTGTTCCACTCATCAGAATTACAGAAGAGTTAAGATTTGTGCATTAAATGTATGTAAATTTTTCCTTAAAGAGTAACAAATTGATCTTCGAGTGGTAAGTTGGGTAGAGGTGGAAATGAAACAGGGAAGGTGCGGTTTCGGTTTCACAGCTGGGCGACAGCTGCATGAGGTTATTACGCTGTTCTGTTAACTTTGTGTATACACATTTAAAGCTCTCAACAATGTTGTTGTTTGTTTGTTTATTTGGGGCAGCAAAGCAAGGTTTATTGAGCAGTAGCAAAGTGATAATACAAAGCTCCCAAGGAGGGAGGGGACCCAAAGGGTTACCCCACAATGTTTTGTTTTGTTTTGTTTTTGAGATTTTATTTATTTGACAGAGTGAGAGAGATCACAAGTAGGCAGAGAGGCAGGCAGAGGGGGAAGCAGGCCCCCCACCCCAGCAGACAGCCCAACTTGGGGCCAATCCCAGAACCCCAAGATCATGACCCGAGCTGAAGGTAGAGGTTCAACCCACTGAGCCACCCAGGTGCCCCCACAGTGTTTTTTTAAAGTGACATTCTAGTCTACCATATTAGAAAGGCATAAGATACTAGAATTTAGAAATCACCCCTGAAACTAATAATACACTATATGTTAACTAAATTGAATTTAAATTTAAAAAAAAATTCAAAAATCAAGAAATAGCCATGTGAGCATATTATTTAAAAATGTGGAATTAATCGGCGCCTGGGTGGCTCAGGTTAAATGTCTGCCTTCGGCTCAGGTCATGATCCCAGGGTCCTGGGATTGAGCCCCACATCAGGCTCCCTGCTCAGCGAGGAGTCTGCTGCTCCCTCTCGATCTACCCCTCTCCCCATGGTTGTGCTCTCTCTTTCTCTTGCTCTCTCTCTCAAATAACAAAATCTTTTAAAAATGTGGAATTAAATAGGGAAAAAGGTTTAAAGATAGCATAGTGGTTGTCTCTGGGGAGTCAGAACTGTGTGTAGAGAGGGCGGGAGCATGGGAAGTCTATTTTGTAAGACTTTCAGTGTTATTTGATTTTTAAACCTTATGCATGTATTACTTTGATAAAATGATATATTCTGTGGGTTTCTGCACGTTTTCAAGGAAAATACCAACATGATCCTGTGTGAATAATTAGACACAGACCAGTGCTTGGAATATATAAAAATTCTGTTTGCCCGTGATGATTTGGGCAGCATGCTCAATTATTTCCATTGCCAAAGGTGGTGATTTAATTTGAATTACTACTTCAGATGAGCAGAGCTGAGAAGTCTGATTGCATAGAGTTTCTTCCTGTCGCTCGGGCCCTCCTGCAGTTTGCTTCTTGCTCAGTAGTTAAGAGTGATCATAAATAAGCTTGTATTGGTCTCCTATTTAAAAGCCACCGAATGTCTTCCCATTGCAATTTGAATAAAAATCAGACTCTTCATCATGGCCTGCAAAAGGCCATAAATGCTGTAAATGATTGGGTGCCTCATTCTCTTGCCGCTCTTCCCTCATCACTGTCAGCCTTGAGGCCTTCTCTCACACTTCTTGGACACGAACAGCTCTTCCCTGCCTCAAGGCCTTTGTACTTGCCATTCCTCAAGAGACTGGCTGCCTTTCATCATGCAGGATTTAGTTCAAAACATGGTTCCTGGAAAAGGCCATTTCGGATCGTCTACTAGAGTAGCTCCCTCCACCCCTTCCCTTCCAGAGTGTGGTCCTCCGCCAGAAGCACGAGCCGGGAGCA